AAAATAATCCTGACGGCAAATGCAGTTTGGTGCTTAGTAAATGTGTTAAGATGGAAGCCATTAAATGAAATCTTATGCATGACGATTTTACCTGCGTTTTCTCAATTCCTATGAAATTTGAAATCTACTTTTCCTTGTTCCCATGAGAATCTTTTCTTTGAAGTTATTTTATATAAACTTATTACATTTAGAGCCCTTGAAAAGTGTCAAAAAGAATGCGATACTCGAACTTAAAATACTCTGGTACAAGGTTAAGGTTTTTGTCCACTAAAATTTAAAATTACTCAGTTTCCTAATGAATTTTTTCTTATTATCTTTGTCATATGCCAACGTAACTCGATCATTTCTTCTCCTCTTGCCCCTTTTAAAATAATTTCCTTTTTCTTTTAACATTTTTTCTATTGTTTTTATTTTTTTTCAGATTTTTCTCCATTTATAGTTTTTACGATCACGAAACTGGAATACTTTCGTATACTAGCATGGGAAGCAGCTAGAAAGAGGGCCTTTACAAAACTAACGGAAACAGGCTATACCGGGCAAACCATGAAGTAAATACACTGGAGAAAACTCCAACAAAATACTCCTACGATCGGCTGAGAAAAGAACCGTTGAAAAATCGAACAAATAAAGATAGCAACGATAAAATTAAAGGAAGAAAACGAATTCTCAACGGTTTCTAGGAGTCGCGGCGGGGGTAGTGAGTATCTTGAACCTTTTTTCCCAAAGAAGTTGAAGGGGTGTCCCCGATAACGAATTTGTCTTAAACAGTGTAAGTTGCCATGGTGACAATTTGATATTAATCAATATTTAATAACAACACAATGCAAAATGTTGCCATTAGTAAAATGCAATAGTGGTAGAGTATCAGATTCATATAGCAGAGTAAATTTGTCATAAAAAATTGGCTTTCGAAATAAACACTTTGGCCACTGGTCATTTCGCTCCCGGTCGACTCAGCCAGGGGCACCCCTGCTCAGTAATATTTTCCTTTTTACTAAAGCAACTTTTTTGCATCATCAAAAAAATTGTGCCGGAAATGGAAGACAGAACAAAATTTTCAAAGGAGTGCTTAACCCTGTATCAATATTTTCTTCTCTTATATAATCCTATAATCCTAAATTTCAGAGATTTGAAACACTTTGAAACATTTTGACGGTTAATATTAACCTGCATTTTTGACGGTTGACGGTAAATTGTTAGGCCGTCTGACGGCTGACGGTAAACCCCATTGAGACCTTCATGCCAGGCAAATTATTGCGCCATAAGCTACGCAAATATTGCCCCTGTATTCTGTTGCGCATTTAAAACTTTATTCCGAAATTGACTTAAATAAATGAGGCTTTTTTAAAATTTACAGCATTAAAAGAAAATTTTAAGCTTTTTCACACTATGTTTGTGTCTTCTTTGGCTCATTGATCGGTTTCTTTTTCTTTTTTCTTCTTGTTTAGAGTGCAAAGCCTTCCCAATTAATCTCTGAGGAACCTGTGACAAGACTTAACCAAAAAACGACATATATCACCATCAGAACCTTTTAATAAACAAATAAACAACCACGACGACGACAACATGAAGTAAATTTGCGTCGTTTTTCTAGCTAGTTAAAATGCAGATCTACTTAAAAGAATAACAAAACAAAACAAAACAAAAACAACATCCAAAATGGGAAAGACAGCGAAAAATTTGTCGTCGTTTGTTGACGTCTTTTACAGACCGTCGTCTTTAGTTAGTATCTCAAAGAGGATTACAAATGTTCCAAAAAATGTGATGCATTAGTGCAGAGTTGCAAATGTCCGATCCTGGTCTATACAGGCGTTGGTGTTCAGAAGTTAACTCCGTATTATTTAATAACTTAAGCTAATGTTTTTTCGCTTATACAAGGTGTAATAATTATTAATCTTGGTTTGCGAAAGCGAAAAACAAAAGAAACCTTGACAAGAACAGTCAAAAAGCAAATTAATTGCATTCAGATGAGAGTTCTGTTACCATGCACTTTTCTGAGACTAGAGTTTTACAAAATCACTTCCACGGAGTTGCGATGTTCGCAGTAGCGTGCAGATTTGGCCGATCAAGCAACGAATTCCTCTTCCGCTTTAAAATACTTCTAGAAAACAGTACCCATGCAATAATTTAGATTCGATAGGAAATTTGCACTTCAAGTTTTAATTCTGTTACCTATACTGTCAAATGACATAGTTACTCGGCCCACGGCCGGCTAATGAAAGCTAGAACGTTAATGTCATCAGCCCATGGCAGATCGCTAAATTGATGTAAGCTGTAGGGTAAGTTAACCAACTACATGCATATTGCCAAAAGAATTAAAATGAACTTTCAAAACTATATTGTCACTCTTTTCTGGAATTGGCACATTATTATTATTAGGCTTATATAAACACAGTCGTTCATCTGAACATTAATTTTTCAGAGAAATGCTTTTTTTGTTTCAAAATTGTCGAGTGTCTACGCAAAGGGTCGAAAAGACTCGATAAAGAATGAAAGTAGAATTAAAAACTAAGGTAATGTTCCAAGCCCTCCGCTCAGTCGTTCTAAGCTCTTCGTCACGACTAGCTTCCTCCTTTACGAAGGTCGTTCTTGGGAAAAGATGATTCAACAAAGCCCGCCGAAGTAGTCTGAGAAGGAGGCTATTAGTAATTTTCCTTAAATATGAAATATGAACTGCAGAATTAAAAAAATTAATCTGACTGCAAAAGCAGTTCGGTGAGCAGTAAATGAATTTAGATGGAATCCATTAAATGAAATCTTATACATGACGACTTTACCTGTGTTTTCTCAATTCCTGTGAAATTTGAAATCTATTTTCTCTTGCTCCCACGAGAATCTTTTCTTTGGAGTTATTTCATATAGCTTAGTACATTTATAGCCCTTGAAAAGTGTCAAAAAGAATGCGATACTCGGCCTTAACTGGTACAATGTTAACGTTTTTGTCCACTAAAAATTAAAATTACTCAGTTTCCTAATGAATTTCGTCCTAATCTTTGCCATATGCAAACATAACCGGATTATTTTATCTCTTCTTGCACGTTTAAAACAGTTCCGTTTTCTTTGTACTTTTTTCGATGTTTTTTTGTTAATTTTTCTTCATTTGTAGCTTTTACGATCACGAAACTGGAATACTTTCGTAGACTAGCTGGGGATGCAAGTAGAAAGGGAACCTCCCACTTTACAAAACTAACAGAAAAAAGCTGTCAGTACCGGGCATAAACCATGAAGTAAATACACTGGAGAAAACTCCAACAAAATACCCCTACGATCGGCTTAGAAAAAGACAGTTGAAAAATCGAACCATTAAAAATAGCAACGATAACATCGTATTTTAGGAGCAAAACGAATTCTCTCCAGTTTCTAGAAGTTTCGGCGACTGTAGTGAGCATCTTGAACCTTTTCCCCCGAATTAGTTGATGCGTTCACGAAGAGTAAGGGTGTCCCCGATAACTGAATTTGTCTTAAACAATGTTGCAATGGTGACAATTTGATATTAATTAATATTTAATAACAAACACAATGCAAATGTTGCCATTAGTAAAATTTGTTAGTTGTAGAGTATCAGATTCATATAACGGAGTAAATTGATAATCAAAAATTGGCTTTCTGAACAAAATCTTTAAAATAAACACTTTGGCCACATTTCGCTTCCTATCGACTGCAGCCAGAGGCGCCCCCGCTCAGTGATATTTGATATTTTCCTTTTTAATAAAGCAACTTTTTTTTATATCAACAAAAAATTGTGCCGAAAATGGAAGATAGAACAGAACAAAAATTTCAAAGGAGTGCTTAACGCTGTATCAACATTTTCTACTCTTAATCCCAAATTTTAGGATATTCAGTACCCCTAATAAAATAAGAATCAATAGTCTTTTTTTTTGTTCTGTTCTAGAAAAAAAATCATATTTTAAAGAAAAAGCAAATTCAATGCTGCAGTTGGTAACTATTAGTAGGTGAATGGAGATGCATTAAGTGTCATTTGTTTTTTTTTATATTCAAAATTATATTTCGAGGATGGGCTCAATTTTTAAGGAGCGTGAATGAAAAATAGCAGGTGAACTAAGTATTAGTCATGAGATTCGATGTCAGGTTTGAAAATAATAGGACCTCAAGTTACACAAACACTTTTTTGAATTACTGTAGAATGTTAATTTCTCTTCCGAAAAGACTGTCGACTGCAATTTACATTTTCTCTCTTGTATTGATATATTTAATGCATTTAGAATTTCTGGAAATATTTGCTGAAGCATACGGATAGCATCAAGTATCACAGTCTAAATCGTGAACTTTTACAAGAGGTTCCCCTTGAATGGTAATTAAATTTCTTTAACTGTCGCTAAGAACTACGCACATCAAACTTTCATTTGGTTATCGTTACTTGCGTAACTCTTTCTAATCTTTCTAAATTTTGGACAAAAATGTTGCTTGGGTTTCCTAAGTCTTTTAATTTTTTAGCATGCGTTATTGACTCCTCGAATCATGTCTTTTGTTAGAGAAATAACCTGCTTTAGGGTAAAGCGTAGTGTTTAACTAAACCACACCTTTTCCTCAAAGTCGTTAAATTCGTTTTTATTCTTTTTTACCATCTATGAAAATTCCATTAAAAAATAGTGTTCAGTTAAGATAGCAGTGAGGCAAATCATGCTCTTATTTCGTTCCGGTGCCAAATGGGAAAGGTAGTATATATTTAGAGTTAATTGTGCTGACTAGTGGGAGTTCAAGCCTAATTTGATCTAAAATATGCATGGCATGATGCCCATTATAAAGCCAAAACGTCTTAAAGTTGCTTATTTGAAATTCCTACTGACTGCAAAATGTTTGTAAAGGGAATGTCATGAGATTCGATGTCCAATTCAATATCTGACAACTCACACGGATCAATCAGTGTGAATATTCCCTGAAATCCAGATTTCAATAAAGTGTGCGGTCATGTCGGCGGGCGCTCCGCACATGCCGGTTTAAAACTCAAAACGTACCAATGCTTTATGTCGTAAACTAAAATGAGTCAAGTTAAAAATCTACAGAAGGAAAACCTAAAACTAAAGGGAGAGATTTCCGCTGTAAATAGTGAACTCCAGAAGCTGAAATCGATCATCGAGCAACAACGACTTCAAGCGGACATCGAGCAGGTTGGAGACGCTGCAACAAGATATGGAAACAGTGTCCAAAAGAGTGTTGATTTCTTATGTGAGGACCATCATATAACGAAAAACTTTCGAGAGGAAATGTCGAAAGAACTTGACAATCTAAGCCGTAAGCTTGAAGCGATTTCTACGAGAGTTGACAGTTTGGACGCCGCCATTGATGACTTACTGAAGTACAGCTTTCAGTATAACGTCAAAATTATTGGCTTTCCTGAACAGGATGAACACGAGTCTTCTGAAACCACCACGCAGTTGTGTTGAAAGCTTTTCCATGCTATCGGAGCCGAGGGAGTGACGAAAAACGACATTGATATCGCTCATAGAGTGAATAGCCGAAGGGCTGACCGCCATTACCCAAGACCTATTGTGTGCATTGTGTTTATAAGGCGACTGGCCAAAGAAGAAGTCATGGCTCATCGCAATGAAACTTCCAACTTAAACCCTGATGATCTGGATTTATCTGCTGATTTTCACACGGGAAATATCCGAATTCATGAACACCTGATCCCGAGATTACAGCAACTTCTTAGCGAGGCAAACAAATTGAAATCTACACATCAATTCCACTACGTCTGGGTGAAGAACTCTGAGATTCTGGCTCGTAAATCTAGTAGTTCTCAGGTCTTCAAATTAAAACGCATGGCCGATCTTGACAATCTGAAGCAAAGCTTGGTCAGTAATCCAACTCAGGATTAAGGAGATAAGTGTACTGTGTTAATTGTTATTCGTTCATAATCTTAATGATGTGATACAGTTATTGGAAATGGCTTCGCACAAAGAGATGAAAAATCTCGCTAAAGAAAACAAATTGCTGTTGATGGAATTGCCATATTATAACTGTAAAGATCTGAAAAATGCCCACCCGCAGTATAACGCTTTACTGGACACTAATCTAGCCTCCAGGAAATCGATCTATTCACTTAATAGCTTGTATGATCTTGGTCTTTTTCGGAACGATTCCGTAGACAAAACGATTGATCCTGATGCTAACTTAATGACAACGAGTAAAATTCGTTCGAGCAACTATTCGCCTCATAGCTTCTCCGTGAAGTTTGAAAATACCACAAATAGGGATGTCGTATCCGATTTCTCTATTCTTCACACTAATATAAGAAGCTTAAGAAAAAATATTGAACATTTTCAGTGTCACGTACTCAGTGAGGTAAAACATAATTTCACGGTATTAGGTGTTACAGAAATGCGACTATGCGAAGGCGAATCTATTGATTTTATACCACAACTACCTGGCTATTGCTTTGAATTTGTTAAAACCCCGTTGTCTGCCGGTGGCGTTGGTCTTTTTATTAATGAAAACTATAAATATCGAGTCTTAGAACGCTCTACTAATTCCTCTTATCAAGCCTTGTGGATTGAAATTTTACTACCAAATCACAAGAAAAATATCTGTGGCATTGTTTACCGACAACATAATAATGCAGATCAATTTCTTGACTATCTTTCGGATTCCCTCGAGTATTTCAGTAATCACAATAATAATATATATCTCATGGGAGATTTCAATATAGACTTGCTAAAATATGAAAACTGTAAATACAGCCAGATACTGCTTCAGTGTATGCAAAGTTTTTCTATGCTTCCTACAATTGATAAACCAACGCGAG